CATAATCAACAGCAACAAGTATGTAAGTACAACCAAAGGAAGATGGGAATGGTCCCATGAAATCAATACCCCACACATCGACGAGCTCCACAACGAGTATGTTATTCAATGGCATTTCGTTCCTGCGACTTATGTTCTCCATCCTTTGACACCTATCACACTTAACACAAAAATTAAACGCATCTTTGAATAGAGTGGGCCAAAAGAAACCAGATTGCATAATTTTAAGTGCTGTTTTCTTAGCTCCAAAGTGACCTCCACAAGCCAATTCGTGGCTATGCCTAAGTATGCTTTCTTGCTCTTCTTCTGGAACACATCTTCTGATGAGTTGATCCGGGCAATGCTTGAATAAGAAAGGTTCATCCCAGACATAATGTTTCACCATGGAAAAGAACTTCTTCTTGTCCTGAGAAGTTAGATCATTTCTAAGAACACCACAAGCAAGATAATTAACAAAATCAGCATACCATGGCTCTTTGACTTAGGCAGCATATAGTTGTTCATCAAGGAAAGTCTCATTCAAGGGTAGCACAGCTTCTCCTTGTTCTTCAACCACAATTCTGCTCAAATGATTAGCTACCACATTCTCACATCCCTTCTTGTCTCGAATCTCCAAATCGAACTCTTGTAGCAAGAGAATCCATCTAATCAAGCGCGGTTTGGCGTCCTTCTTAGTGAGCAAGTATCTAAGAGCTGCATGGTCAGAATAAACAATTAATTTAGAACCAGCAAGGTAAGAACGAAATTTTTCTAAAGCAAAAACCACAACAAGGAACTCCTTCTCTGTTGTGGAGTAGTTGATCTGAGCATCATTCAAGGTCCGGCTAGCATAATAAATCACATGAAATCGCATGGGGGAGCTTGTTCTTCTTTTGACCTAAAACTGCACCAATAGCAAAGTCAGAGGCATCACACATTATTTCAAATGGTAAAGACCAATCTGGAGCTATGATAATAGGGGCTGAAGTTAGCTCCCTCTTCAAGGTAGTAAAGGCTTCCATGCAAGCTTCATTAAACTCAAAAACAGCATCCTTAGCAAGGAGATTACACAATGGCCTTGTAATGCTTGAGAAATTTTTGATGAACCTTCTATAGAATCCAGCATGACCTAGAAAGCTTCTAATTCCTTACTTCTAACTCCTTTAACAAAGGTAGGGGGTGGCAGATTTGAGATGAGATCAATCTTGGCTTTATCCACTTCAATTCCCTTGCTTGAAATCACATGGCCTAGCACAATGCCTTGTCTCACCATGAAGTGACACTTCTCCCAATTCAAAATCATATTTGTTTCCTGACATCTTTTAAGCACTAGAGACAAGTGGTGAAGACAATCATCAAAAGAGAAACCAAAAACTGAAAAATCGTCCATAAATACCTCAATGAATCGTTCCACCATATCTGAAAAGATTGCCATCATGCATCTTTGGAAGTTTGCTGGAGCATTGCACAAACCAAATGGCATCCTTCTATAAGCAAATGTACCGAATGGGCATGTGAATGTGGTTTTCTCTTGGTCTTTCGGAGCAATGGGAATTTGATTATATCCTGAAAAACCATCAAGAAAACAGTACTAAGCATGACCAGATAAACGTTCAAGCATTTGATCAATAAAAGGGTAGGGGAAATTATCTTTTCTTGTGAATGTATTCAACTTCCTGTAATCAATGCAAACTCTCCAACTGGTGATGGTTCGTGTAGGAACTAGCTCATTCATCTCATTTTTCACAACGGTGATTCCGGACTTCTTTGGAACAACTTGCACAGGGCTCACCCACTTAGAATCTGAAATTGGGTAGATGATTCCTACATCGAGTAGCTTTAAAACTTCAGCTCTAACCACCTCTTTCATGTTGGGATTTAGCCTCCTTTGGGCATCACGAGATGGTTTGCTGTCTTCTTCCATTAAAATCCAGTGCATGCACATGTTCGGACTAATTTCTTTGATGTCTGCTATGGTCCACCGAAGGGCTGTTTTATGCTCTTTCAGAACCTTAATTAAGCTCTCTTCTTCATGTGAGGTGAGACCTACAGCAATTATAACAGAGAGAGTTTTGTTAGCACCCAAATATGTATATTTAAGATGATTGGGCAGAGGTTTAAGTTCTAGCTTTGGTGGGATGATAATGGATGGCTCCAATTTCGTGGATGATGGTCCAAAGGATGTTGGGTATGGCTGAAACACTTCTAAGGCAGCCACCACTTCTTGGAACTCTGATTCACAAAGATCTTCCTCTTCTTGTGTTAGGACAGCTTCTAGAGCATCATTAGACTTTTTCTGCAAAATTTTAGAGGAAACCTCATGATCCACAACATAAATTGAAAAGCAAGTATCAAGAGAGATAGAAGGTTGAGATAGAGCATCAAACACTTTAAATTCAACAGTTTCACCCAAAACAGTCATGGAAAGGGTGCCATCTTTCACTTTGATGATTGTGTCTGCAGTGGCCATGAATGGCCTGCCTAGGAGAATGGGATCAACACGATCTCCATTTGGATTGTCTTCCATGTCCATCACTACAAAATCAGCAGGGAGAATTAGTGTATTAACTTGAACTAGAATATCTTCTACAATACCTTTTGGATATTTTATAGAATGATCAGCTAGTTCAAGTCGCACTTAAGTCTTCTTCATCCCTTCTAAGCCAAGTTTTTGATACACTGAATATGGCATTAGATTGATGCTTGCTCCCAAGTCCAACATGGCTCTTCCAACTTTCTTGTCTCCAATGTTAATGGGAATGTCAAAGCTGCCAGGATCTTCTAGTTTTGGTGGAAGCTTCCTTTGCAACACAGCACTTACATTCTTGATGAACTTTCCATATGCAGGAATCTGTTCAATAACATCAAGCAAAGGCAAATTGATATTAACTTTACTCAAAATGTCATAAATCTCTTTAAAAGCCTTATCTTGCTTTGCTTTCTGAAGACGGCCTGGAAATGGAATAGGTGGAACATATGGAGCGGGTGACACGTATCTATCTTCTTAAAGATGTGATGGCACGAATTTTTCATCCCTTTTATGTAATTGGAATGGATTGGGTTCCTGAGAATCTGATTTGGCCTTAGGAGCATATTGAGAAGTTTTGGGTTGTTGCTCTTTTGTAGTTGTGATCTCCTCCTCTTCATCTTCATTTTCTACAACCACGACATCATTTGAAAGATTGGAATCAACTTTGTTATCAACAGTTTGGCTTGGCCATTTCCCAGGCTCTCTTTGAGTTATTTCAGCAGCTATTTGGCCTAATTGGACTTCCAATTTGGAGATGGCAGCTTGTGTAGTTTGCTGAAAATTGGATTGATTGATTGCCATTTGCTTTACTATATCCTCCAATGATGATGATGATTGTGGTCTTTGGAATGAAGGGGGATTGGCTTGATTCTGAGTATTCCTCCATGAAAAGTTTGGATGATTCCTCCAACCTGGATTATAACTTTGAGAGTATGGATCATTTCTTGGACCTTGGTTGTAGGAATTTACCACCTTAGCTTGCTCTTGCACAAATTCTGGATATGCAGCCCCAAGTGGACAAGCTATGGTAGCATGGTCCTGAGTTTCACAGATGCTACACACTTCCTTCGAAGGGTTTCTCGAGTTCAATGCAAGAAGAGCATCTAGCTTTTGTTCTAATTTTGAAATCTGCACACTAGAAGAATCATTAGAACCAATAACAACACGTTTACCTCTTGTATCTGTATGTTGGGTCTCCATTGCTCCTCGAAGAGTTCATACGTTTCTTCGGGAGTCTTGGTTTTATAAGCACCTGCAAAATTCGTGACAATATTATGACTCGAAGGGATTAGTCCTTTATAAAACATACGCATTTGAAGTTTCAAAGGAATCCCATGAT